GTCGCTTTCCGCTATTCGAAATGGTTTCGAGCAATTTCCCAAACAATCGTTGGCACACAGCAATTATTAATAATGCAAATATGATTATGACTATATTCTGTGAGATTTTTTTGTGAAAATCTTTGTACATAATATTAATATTGATATATGCATATATATATGTATATATATATATGTGTGTGTGTGTGTGTGTGTTTTTATTATATTAACTCATTTTTATTCTCATTGCTTTGTTTCCTCTGTTTTTACGGAATTAGGTCGCATATCTTTTTCAAGACAGACTTGATTCGAGAATGCATGATGTTGTATCCACCCATGCCTATTACATAAAACAATATGATAGATTTTAGATCGTGAAATGCTATACGAAACTATGAACATTGCGACTTTTTCTCTATCGTTGCTTTCAAATCAGTAAATTTAACGACGCTTTCACATGGAAGCATATAATGAAGCTATTGTCTTATACTCCCCGACGGACGGTGCTCCCTTTTAATATTGATTACAATGACGCATGTACGCTAAGTATACATATATGTTGCCGACGAAACAAGCCACCCTCATTGATGATTGACAAATTTTCTTCTTGATTTTCCACTTGATAGCAAAAGCAAAATTTTCAATTTTTTTTCTCTTTTGCCTTTTGCAATTTATTATTCATCGTTTGCTGACTGGCATCCACCCCACTTCAGCACGATTATTTTTTCCTACGTCTTCTACTGCTTAAATCAAACACATGCCTCGATTGAAATCAATTAACTTGAATCAGTTTTTCACTTTACTCTTATTATTTTCGTTTCCTTTGCTTTCCATTCTTTTTCTCGTGCGGAAATTCAAATTGCGACATCTGAAATGAATGAAAATTTATTTCACTTTTCTTGTGTGTCTGTGCAAAAGCACGGTCATACAATTCAAATGCAGATACGCACAAGATGCTTCCGAAAAAAAAATATGACAAATAGACCAAACTTGAAGTAAAATGGAAATTTTTAGTTTACTTTGCTCGAGGGCGCGCGCGCTGCTTTTCTTTTCTTTTCTTTTTTTTTTTTTTGATTTTGGAAAAATGTACGCAAAAGATTTTTTGAGACAAAACACACGCTTTTAGTTTTGCTTGCATTAAATGAATATCACGAGAAAAGGAGGAAGGAGAAGAACTGCTATACTATCCCCATATATGCTAAGCGTTATGCGTTATTCTTTCTGAAGAGACTAAGAGAAAATCTCTTCCAAATTTGTGCCTAATAATCATAATAATAATTATAATAGTAATTCCATCCGCGTCAAGGCTAAGCTCGCTAAGTGGGAAGTCTTGATCAACATATGAAACAGATTTAGCCTTAACTTTAACTGACTGTCAGTCTCGTTTATGACCTGAAAATCACAGAACTCGGTCTTAAATTTTCCTTTTTCATATTATTCATGCCAGGCTTAAAAATTAATTATGATAGCTCATGGCTGCGCGTTCTATCGACTAAAACCCGAAATCCGCTCTAGTAGTGTAAGCCACATCATCCATCAACAGTTCGAAAAGAAACAAATTCCCCCTGGCAAGGCCAAGGGATAAGAATCAAAACGCAATAGGAAATCCGCCCAAAACGTATATAGAAAGGTAATTACAAACATCATTTAGCATCTTTAGCTTTACTTGAACCTGTTTACTTGGTGGTAAGAAATAAAACTTAAACTTACATATAATAATGAATATATCGTGCAAGAATATGTAAACTAATTTACGATATATACTATGATATATGTGTGCCAACTATATAAGCGTATAAATTTTGCAAAAACGGCTTTATGAGGAAAGAGGAGAGATTGAACTTATGAATAATTTTTTTTTTTTTTTTTTTTTGATGTTCTTATCTCTATCCCTCGAAGTTTCCATTGAATATATAAATAATACATCACTCAAAATTTCGTAGGATGACACATAGGTGTCGCCATTAATGGCATATCCATATAGTTTTACGATAGTATCAACCTTGAAACGAAAGATCATGCTCCCCGCCCCTCGCTCTCACCCCATCATACATACTTGTTAATGTGTTCTACGTATATACATGTATCCTCGAGGAAAATAAATGCTTGTTTGCCAGAGCGTTCCGTTAGCGATTACAATTCTAAAGCTTATATTTAAAGTTCTTTATTTCTTCAAGGCGGATTTATAGATCCGCATAAAATTGATACAAGGCAGATAACTTTTTTCTTTCAATTTTTTTCAATGATTGTCGAAAGTTCCTCGTAAGAGCCATCGGCATACACATACATTACACCAATAAATTTCGCCAAGAAAAAATTGAAAAAAAGACGGAATGCATTTTTACTTCGCAATCTGAAAATTTTGTCATTTACATAAATAAAACGAAGTGATTGCAGGCACGTGTGTATGTGATTTATCTAAATTATATCGAGTACACTATTCAATTTGAAAGATAATTTCCGCTTCAAACCAGATAACGAAATCAAAATGCGAATGATATAATAAATCTACGACCGCTGTATGCACCCATACGACCAGTCTTTGCCTAATTTCATAAATTCGAATCCTATTGAGCATTTTTAAGATTTATTAGAAATGAAAATTAAAACTAAGAGAAACGATTTTGTTCGTTTGGATATATGTGTGCCAGCTGTACGAATTGGCAGAACATACGACATTTTTATGAATTTAATGAAATTTTAGTGAAAAATTTTTGACTATCCAGTTATCATCAAGCCCAAGTACTGGGCAAAATGTGTTGTAATAGCGAAAAATAGAGAAGAAGAAAATTGAAATGAATTTTCTAAATCAAAAATTTCGCCAAGTTAGTTAACGTTAAGTTAACGTAATGAAACAATCCATTTGCATTATTCCATATTCCGCGGAATGTAGAATGTAGAGAAAAGTCATAAGTAATGACAACGTGCGATTCGCGTATCCCCTTTTTGTTTTTCTTTTTATAAACACAACACACATTCGCGTTTTAACTTATTTGAAATCCACAGCTAGATT